GGCTCCCACCCCCAACTCTGGCCCTTGCTGGCACTTAGGCATGTCCGTCCCTTCCACTGCCACCCACCCTACCCTCACCTGTCCACCCATCGAGTTCCTTCTTTCTCCCATTTTGACCCCTCCTGGGCCAGCATTTCTAGGAAAGCCAGCCCAGTGCTAATGCAATGAGAGCCGAGTCTACCAACACCCAGCAGCTGTTCCAAGCTAAGCCCCCATCACCACCTGAGCAGGCCCTGAAGGAGGGAGAATTTGTATTCACAGACAAGGCTGTGCCACTTATGCATGGTGTGACCCCTGTTGCTGAAGAACACTTGTTGTAAGCATTAGATGAGCAATTCATGAAGGATTTTAGCGCAGTGTCATTCAGCAGATCCTGACTGAGTGCTTCCTATGTGCTGGGCACTGACCTGCAGCACCTCTCTCCTGAGCTGGCTCCGTCCCCCGCGTCGCATTTCCCCTGGACACATCCTCTTGGATGTCAGAGAGACTGCAAAATCTAACATGTGCACCATCTTGCTGCCCCTCCTTGACTGCTGGCCTGTCCCCCTCTCCATGCCATCAGTCATCAGCCCCGCCTCCTAAATGTCTCTCAGGGTGGCCCCTCCTCTCCACCCTCCCAAAGACTCACCCCCAGCCTCTACCCTCTGTCTCTCCTCCCCTGGCTTGTCCTGTCAGCTTTCCCAGTTTCCCAACAGCCTGGCTTCCAAGTAAGGATCTCAGGCCTCCAGGGCTCCTGGATGAGTCTGCAGGCCCTGGGCTCAGGGTCTCCTTGCTCAGAACTGACTGCCTGGACCGAGACCCCAGATTCTGAATTTAGGATTGCTCCAAACAGGCATGCGCTCACACACCTCACAAGCTTGCAAACACACTCACACTCATACACATTCACACATATGCATGCATCCACACTCTCAGACATACTTACAAACATACCCTCATTGTACACTCACAATGACACACATGTGTGCACACACTCTTGCACACTGCAGCATGCACACGTACACATTCACAAGCATATGATTGCAAACACACGGATGCACACTCACACATGCACATACTCTTACACACTCATGCACATACATGCTTACATACTAGAAAAAACACACACTCATGCACACAGATTTTCCCAGGAGGGAGTTGGACCCCCTAGCTCTCCATGGCCCTCAGTTTTGGGGAGAGGTAGATACATGCACTGCACAAACAACAGTACTATACACCAGACTGTTATTCACACCATTCTAAAGGTGAAATTGAAGTGAAGAGAAAGAGACTAATTTTAGTGGAGTGACTCTTGGAGAGCTACATGAAGGAGGTGCAACGGGACCCAAATGTTGAGTGGAAAGTAGGACTTTGACAGTGAAGATGAGCAAGAGGGCATTACACTGGGGAGTTGTCCAGTGTGACTAGACCCCAGGGCAGTGATTATTGGAATCACCTGGGCTGCTTCAACATCCAGATTCCAGGTCCTTCCCCCGGAAGTTGTGTTTCAACAAACCTGGAGACCGGATCTCCTAAGGTCCCAGGTAGGCGTTTTCAACAAACCTGGAGACCGGATCTCCTAAGGTCCCCGGTAGGCGTAATATGCAGGCACCTTCGGCAGCCGTTGGCCCTGGGCTGACTGGGAGGTGCGTGGTTAGGCAGGGGTGGCGCTGTCCTGTGAACCGATCGTGACGGCCAGGCTGAGGTTGGATTTTACTCTGCACGTAATTGATAAATGCCCTAACTACTGTGGAGAAAAGAAGTAAAAGCTGATTATATCTGCGTTTAGAAAAATTTCCTCGGCAGCTGCGTATCTCTTCTGGAGACTCCAGCAGAGGGCAGGGAGCAAGAGGAAGGCGTCCAGGCGAGGGATGATAAGAATTCGAATTGATTCAGTAAAACAGAAATGAAAAGAAAGAAGAGTGCAGGGCTTCCCTGGTGATGCAGTGGTTGAGAGTCCGCCTGCCGATGCAGGGGATGCGGGTTCGTGCTCTGGTCCGGGAAGATGCCACATGCCGTGGAGCGTCTGGGCCCGTGAGCCATGGCCGCTGAGCCTGCGCGTCCGGAGCCTGTGCTCCGCAATGGGAGAGGCCACAACGGTGAGAGGCCCGCGTACAGAAAAAAAAAAAAAAAAAAGAAAGAGTGCAAAGAGAGAATCTTCAGAATTTGCACACTAATTGGCCGTGGGACTTGATGGGGAGGGGGTTTGTCAAAACAACTCCAAGATGTCAAGATTGGCCGGTCCCAGTCATGAATCCTTGGTGAGCAGGGGGTGGGGAGCAGGCTTGGGTGATGTGAGTAGGCAGTAGACGTTGAATTTGAACATGGGCACAGGCGACCATGAACCATCCCTATGGAGATGTCCCCCATGGAGATGGTTTAACGTGAGCCTGAAGTTTCAGAGAAAGATCTGGGCAGAAATAAAGACGTGGACTCATGATGGAATGGAGGGCAGCTGGGGCAGCCCTGGGCAACAGCAGGACTTTCGGGGAGAACAGGAGGAACTGAGACCAGAACGGGCTGGGCAGGTGGTAAGAGACGTAGGTGTACCAGGCAGTTGGGCTCTGCAGTGGGGGCGGAAGGAAGAGCTTCAGGAAGAGGGTAATCAATGTGCCTGAGCACCAAAGTGTCTCAGAGGCTGAGAATCAGAACCAGACTGTCGGATTTCATCAGAGCAGTTTCCAGGAGAGGACAAAACCTCCAAATGCAAGGGGTTGGCAGGGACTGGGGGGTGAGGAAGGAGAGACTGGGAGTGTGGTCCATCCTCTCAGGAGATGCTTGTCAGTGCGAATAGGTGACCGCATCAACCCGGCACACTCGTTGATCTGAGCCAAGAGGTAGCAAATGCTACTCCTGTTCCTTCTTTGCAAATTGGAGTGCCCCCTCCCCTGAGGTGGGCCCAAACTCTGGTCATCCTTCAAGGCTCCTCCTCTGGGTGGCTCTGCAAATGTCTACAGCGGAAAGGTGCACCTTCATTTAAGTGTCTGCAGCCTTTGCCTGTCCACATGGCCTGTGGCTCTTCCATCTCTGTGTGGCTCTTCTTTATGTTATTTCTCCTGCCAGCCTTGGGGCTCTGGGGGAACGCAAACAACTTGGGGTTCTGCCCCATACCTGGAGGAGCTCCGCAGACTTGGAAGGCATGGATGAATGAACGAGTGAATGAATGATTGTGCTTGTGAGCCGAAGAACTTGACTTTGAGGAGGGCAAAGAGCACCCTCCTCCTCCCCAGGTCACAGGCCTGCTCCTGGGCCAGAAACTCCAGAGACTCCCCGTAGTTCTGGAGCCTTAGAAGGTTAGAGCTGTTTGAGTTGAAATCTTGGCTTAAATGTTTACAGAACTGGAATATTTACATGGCTTGATTCAAGGAAATGCTGAAGACAGGAACAGTGGTTATTAATAAATCATAACAACAACGATTTTCCTTTCAAGATGCTCTATGGGCCTTATAAGTAATATCTGTATGATTGAGCGGCTGGGGGACAATCCGGGCTGGCTGGGCAGCCTAAGTAGCATCTACAGGAAGCGCCTCCCTGGTGAACTGAGGGGAGCAGAGGCTGGCCTCTCCTCTCCTTCACTGGAGCCCTGCTTCTGCCAAGGACAGTTGATTCTGCAAATCAACTACACTTCCATTTAAAATAAAAGAGTAAGCCAAAGTAGCCCATGATGTTTGACAACCATGTCTTACATCCGTTACCTGCCTGGTGTGGTGATGAGAGCCACAAGTGCAGAACTAGATAAGACGTCATGTCCTCCCATCCCTACCCCTCAGTCTAGAGGGGCAGAAAGGCAACCACACAGATTAATAAATACCAGCCATGGACCACGTGTCCTGGTAGAGGAGGGAATGACTATCTGGAAGAGATCAGAAGGAAGGTTCTGTGGAGTTGGATCTGGAAGGATAAATAGGAGCTCACCATGCAGCCAAGCCAGAAATTGAGTAGGAAAGGGATGGCAGAAACAGCTGTGGGTTGCAGGGACCGTGTGCTCCCATCATAAGTTAGGATCCGTGGTCTAAGAATTGTAAGTGTGGTTACATTTGGACTCAGAGTTGTTCCTCCGAAGTCCAGGATGGCCCCTCCTAGTGACCACTGCAGCAGTATCCTTGATACTGGCCAGAGGGAGGAGAGAAGCTTTCCCCAGGACAGAGGGAAGAGCGAGGGGAAGGGGTAGGGGAGGCATGGGAGGGGCAAGAACTCAATCACTGTGAAGGGCAGTACCAACCCTGGCAGAGCGCTGCTCAGTGGTATCTGCGGAGCAGGAGTGCTCGAGGCACTCGGTGGCTCTAGGTAGGAGGGACGGCCCCTTCACCCTGCCAGGGAGCCATCGACAAGTCACAGCAAGCAACTGTCGCAGAGGCCCTGCTGTGCAGGCCCAGCTGCCAGGATGATCCCAGGGAAGCAGCAAGGTGGTTTGCCAGGTGGGATGGGGGTTCTGGGCAATGGTGCTGAGATCTGATGCTGCCAGGGGAGAGGTGCCATGCAGGTACCAGGGAGGGAGTCTGCTGGGGCCAGCTCCCTTGGGGCCTGAGTGACAGGAACCCTGCTAGAATGTGAGCTCTAGCAGGATCCAGATGTTTATCTTTCTTATTTTTCTTATTTCTTACTGCTTTTCCCCAGCACCTATAACAGTGATTGGTACATAGTAGGTACTAATAAATAGTTGCTGAATGAATGAATGAGTCATTGAACAAATGGAAAGCTGGATGGATGGATGGGTGCATGGAGGCATGGATGGATGAACAAACCTGGGGAAAGGCAGAATCTTGGATCCCAGAGACAAAGCAGAAACTAATCAGGCAGGCTGTGCACTCCCCCAGGTGGATGACCTTGGGCTGTGGTGCTGAGGGGTCCCAACCCATGTCCCTTTGAACCCAAGGGGGAGATAGGCCAAGCATGATTATGCCCTGCTGGCCGAAGCTCCCATACTCTGGTCACCGGGCAGCTGGGATGCCAGGGTGGGGCAAGGACTGGCCCCTGGCCTGCCATCCTTCGTGCTCACTGTGTGTGTGCTTGGCTTCCAGCCCGCTCCAAAAGCCTGGTGATGGGGGAGCAGAGCCGGAGCCCTGGGCAGCCACCCTGCCCCCGCAGGCTGGGCCCCGTCCTGAAGGCGGGCTGGCTGAAGAAGCAGAGGAGCATAATGAAGAACTGGCAGCAACGCTGGTTCGTGCTGCGTGGGGATCAGCTCTTCTACTACAAGGACAAAGATGAGAGCAAGCCCCAGGTGAGGAGCGTGCGTCCTGTGTCCAGCGGGCATCACAGCGGGGCTCCAGGCGGGGGGGCGGGCGTGTTTAACTACGTCCAGGAGAGGGGAGAAGGCAGAGAGTGTGACCCTGCCGTCAGCACCTCCACCCCTCAAGCACCAAGCCCCTGACTCCACTCAGCATGACATTTCACTGGGATTTCCAAAGTGAGCTTTATCCCCTGCTACCACGTTCCCGGTATCACACCTTGTTTTACTGTGACACATCCACAGCTTCAGTGATGGAAATGTTTCCTTATAATGGTGATAGAGAACATCCATCCATGGCTTAAAAATACAACTCTTCCTCATGTCCTTTTCAGCCTCTTAGTGCTTCCAAGGAGGACACAGGTGCACACATTCCATTCCTTCCATTATGCAGGGAAACGGGCACCCAGACAAATCTAACGTCATACTGAATTCTGGCTCGCGGTGAAACCCCTGTGTCAGAGGCCTCTGCCTCTCAGGGGAGGCTTCTGTTTTCCACCAGCACTGTAAGCTCCACCTCAGGCGCTTAACACGTCTGCCTTTCCACCCAGTTCCACTAAGTTCGCTCACTCAGAGCAGTCGGTGGCCTCCTCCGTCATGGTGCAGCCTGGTCACAGTTGCCCTGCATGCTGCCGGCCAGGGTGCCTGGGCTTGCGGAGCTTGGGCAAGCTAACCCTTGTTATGGGATTCAGACAGAGAAAGGATGTCTGGGAGCTACCCTCGCTTCTCTTGGGGAAAATGGGGAAGGGAACTTGAAGGACTTCTTCCAAAGGTGGCTCCTAGTCATTGATCCAAGTTGGAAAGAAAAGGGAGATCCCCTTGTTTGGGGTCAGGGGTCACAGAGCTTTGCAGGGCTGTAGCCTGTGCACATCCAGCAGTTCCACGGTGTGCTCGGGGGCCTGGGGGGCGGGGAGGGGGCTCTGTGATGGGCAAGGTGGAAGGAGGTACCTGGGCACAGCACGGTATCACGTCGTCAACACAGCGAGAAAATGACCCTGTCACTCCTCTTCCAAATTTTCTGAGTATGAAGAAGGAATTGTCCTATCTTTAACACTTCTCCAATACTTGGGACCCTCCCTTAAAAACATGGGACTCTGGGGGTGGGAAGGAGCAGGCCTCATCTCAGAGACCTCAGTGGCACTAGTCACCAGCTGCAAGTAAATAACTTTCTGTCTTCACTGTATTTATTCTAGTGGTTAACTTTTGTTTATGGAAAGCCATACTGGTTTCCATTCGTGAGAGTCATAGCACGTTTTTGTTTCTAAAATATATCTAAGTTAAAAACAAAAAGTGTTGCACAGCAATGTGAGTGTACTTAATGCTACTGAACTGTACACTTAAAAATCATTGAAATGGTAAATTACATGTTATGTACATTTTAACACACACACAAACAAGTGAGACTGCTTAAGGAAAAGTTTTACACCAATACCAGTAGAGATGAGAGGTGAGGATGACAAAAATCATGAAGGTGGATCGAAGCTAAAGTTTAGGGAACTCTGATCTTGTCCAGCCTCCCAGGCTTTATAAGGAAGGAATAGAACTCCCAGAGAGGTGGAGTGGAACAAACAGGAACTTTGAATTTGATCTGAATTAGGTCAGTCATACTAGCTAAATAACTTGGTATAAGCCACTTAATTTTTTTTTTTACTTTCAGTTTCATGATTACTAAAATGGAGACATTATTACCTACCTCACAGAAATGCACTAAGAATTAGATTGTAGAACATATACGCGACGGAGCACAGATCCTAGCACCTGGGATACTTCAGTCTGGGTACCCTCACGCTCCCTCAGCCCTGCCCCTCAGCCTGCTTCCCAGATCAGGAGCCACACCTCTGGCTTGCCCACCGCCATCTTCCTCCTGGCTTCTGCGTTTTGTGTTGAAGACCAGCCTTGGCCCTTCAGTGGCATCTTGGCTTTCCTGGCTGTCCTTTTGGTGACATGTCACTCTGATGATGGTGATCAAAGTTGCCAGAGTCCCTAGCACCTCAGAGCCCTGCCTATGGCCCCTACTGTCATCCCCCTCCTGGCCCGCCCACAGCACCATCTCCTGGGAGAAATGCATTATGATGTTGGGCGAACCCAGTGGACTAAAGTAACACACTGAGGTCACCAGCCTACGTGTGGACCCCTGCCCCAGGCTTCCCCACATATTCTTCACGGTGAGTCTCAGGTGGCCCTCACCTGTCACTGCAGCTCCAGAAGGAACCTCCATCCCCCAGATTTCCCAGACTGGACATTCTTCTCCCTCACCTGCCACCTTCTCCAGACTTCAATGGCTCCTGGTGGAAATAGCTAATTGAATGGAAGTAATGACATCCCCAGTCACCAGCCTGGGCAAAGGAGGAGCCCTGGGGCCTGACCCAAGCTAAACCAGCGCGGTCGTCACCAGGGAGCCATTGGATCCCTGAAAGGAGCCAGCATCTCCAACAGATGCCAGCATCATGCCCAGGGCTCCTCTTTTGGCCTCTCCGGGTCTCTGCCAGATCCTCATGGGGGATTATTCTTTTCCATGATCCCCCCTCCCCAACAAAGCCTGACTGCTCTGGCAGCCCTGTTGCTCAGGTTCCCAGTCTCAAGGAGACTCTTGGTCAAATTTGACTCATTTATCTTTATAGTATGATCTCAAACCTACATGCCTGCTGGCAGAATAACCCTCAGATTTCCATTTAATTGCATGAACTACATGTAATGGACTAATTCTCAATATCTGGTTCCTGGAAAAATGGGCCCTGCTCACTGTTTGCAGTCATGGAAGTGCCCAGACAGTGAGCTCCCTCCTAACAGATGGCCTGTCATCTGTCCAGCAGATGTAATTGTGGAGAGGAGGGATGTCCAGCTACCCTTGATGCTGCCCAGAGCACATACACGTGATAAGGATCACTCCCAGCCCATATTCTTGTTCTCTCTCCAAAGCCCTAGCTCTTCCCTTCTCCCCTTCTCGCACGAAGGTCAGCAGAGGACGTAGAGCACAGAGATGGGGAAAATTCAAGATGGTGGAAGAATTGGCTCAGATGGAAACTCAGATAGAAAGACTAGGCAAAGGTGCTTTAAAACAGAACCTGAAAGTGTGGCCCTGTCCCTCCAGCTTTTCCCAACACATGTCCCTAATAGTTTCCAGCAGACAGATCCTACAGTTTTACTAATAAAAGATTCCAGGTTTTTTCTTCTTAAATACTTTTAGCTTCTGCAAAATGTTTCTTGCACCATGAAAACTCCTGCCACATTCTTTCTTGATCAGCCTGGTCTGTTTCCACTGTTTGAGGATTCACTTTAAGTCTAGTTATCCCACTCCTTCACTGTGGGTTTCTTGGCTTTGAATAGAAATGGAATAGAATAGAAATGGAAAGTACAACTTCCAAAACGTGAGATGGAAAGAATGTAACAAATTAAGTGTGATCATTTTAACAAATGGGCAGAAAATGGAGGGGAGGAAAAAACAAAAGAAAAAGGTAAATAGAAAACGAAAAAGTAAATAAGATAGCAAGGAACAGGAAGAAACCTTTCAGTTGTCGTAATAAATGTGAATAGGTCAGATTCATCTGTGCCTTAAAAGACAAAGTGGAAGTCTGGCTTAAAAAAGAGAAAGTAATAAAAAGGTTGAAAAACAAAACAATGGGAAAAACGTAAGCCAGCACATGCAAGCAAAAAGAAAGCAGATTTAGGAATATCAAAATCAAATAGAATAGAATTCAAGGTGATAGGAACAAATAGAAACATTTCATTATAATATAAATAACCTACTGAGAAAATAGAGCAGCTGTGAACTTTTATGTTCTTAATGACATAGCTTTGAAGGATACTTAAACAAAGAAAAAGAATTCTCATTGTTCTCCATTTTTTAAAAAAAAATGAAATTATAGAGACACATTCACTGACAATAGTGCAAAAGAAAAAAATAGACTTAGAGATTAAGAACAAAATGACAGTGAGTGAGGGTATATATGCAAGAGAGAGAGAAATCTATACACGTGGAAATAAAACACACACGTACTTCATAACACCTCCTAAGTTAATAAGAAAATCAAAACTTAAATTCAAACTTCTAGTCAAGGATGACAGAGTTAAAAACCCCAAAATTCCAATAAAGAACACTAAAGGTGTGCTTGCGAAGGTCTGGACACACCTAGATGGAGAAGGCAGGAGGGAGACAGCCGCATTCTGGATGCTGGACAGCAGGTGGGTGGGAGGTAGCTGATCAGCAAACCCCAGAGAGCTAAATTCCAAGCCAGCACCACAGATAGCACAAAAATCCGCTGGGTTTGCAAATCCCCTCACCGCCCAGCAAAGACTCAGACATTGGCAGGACCAGTTATCTCTGGAAATGAGGGCAAAAGAAGAGCTCCAAACAGGAGTTCTGATTGAAAGTCAGTTTAAAAAGCAGTTAAGAGGGTTCCCTTTTCACCACACCCTTTCCAGCATTTATTGTTTCTAGATTTTTTGATAATGGCCATTCTGACTGACGTGAGGTGATATCTCATTGTAGTTTTGATTTGCATTTCTCTAATAATTGGTGATGTTGAGCATCTTTTCATGTGCCTCTTGGCCATCTGTATGTCTTCCTTGGTGAAATGTCTATTTAAGTGGTCCACCCATTTTTTAACTGGATTGTTTTGTTTTTTTGATATTGAGCTCCATGAGCTCTTTGTATATTTTGGAGATTAATCCTTTGTCTGTTGTGTCATTTGCACATATTTTCTCCCATTCTGAGGGTTGTCTTTTTCTCTTGTTTATGGTTTCCTTTGCTGTGCAAAAGCTTTTAAGTTTAATAAAATCCCATATGCTAACGCATATATATGGAATCTAAAAAAAAAATGGTACTGATGAACATAGTTGCAGGGCAGGAATAAAGAGGTAGACATAGAAAATGGACTTGAGGACATGGGGTGGGAGGGCGGAGCTGGGGCAAAGTGAGAGTAGCATCGACATATATACACTACCGAATGTAAAATAGTTGGCTGGTGGGAAGCAGCTGCATAGCACAGGGAGAT